TTTGTTAATTTTTGGAAGAATTTGTGAAAGAACGATGACTATTAAATTTATTCTTATGTTAAGTAGAAGCATGATATTGAACAGTATCATCTAGACAGGACTTTGTTAATTTTTGGAAGAATTTGTGAAAGAACGATGACTATTAAATTTATTCTTATGTTAAGTAGAAGCATGATATTGAACAGTATCATCTAGACAGGACTTTGTTAATTTTTGGAAGAATTTGTGAGAGAATGATGACTATTACTACCAGAGCTTGATCTAGTAGTGGAGAATAAATGCATAAGCAAAGTGCAAAATTTCCTGATTGCACGGAATCTGCTCTTTTAGGAAACATACTCATAAGAAGTTGAATTTGTAAATGTTATAAATGACTCTAACTGAATATGTTACATAAATCGTAAAGAAAGTTCACTGGAAGAGGGCGATAAATAACAGTTCAATTGGCTTTTTGTTGCAGGGAAATAAATTTCGGACGGCATCGAAGCCATTATGTTTGTGAGTCCAATTATGAATATGATATTAACAATACAAAATTACTGGGTAATGGCGCAATAAGAGGGGATGCTATGATTGTGCCTAAGGTAGGGCATGGAGTTTAAGGATAAAAATAAAATATTCGAGCTTTATAAAAGATATGCATACGACTTGGGTTTTTCGGTGAGAAGAGAAATTCGATAAAGATTGATAATGGAGTTTTGCGATATGTTACATTTTGTTCATAGCCGTGAAGGGAAAAAAATCCATAATACAAATGTTTTTTCTGAAACCACAAGCTACCATGCTGAGTGGATGTAAAGCCAGTCTGATTGCATATTTAGATATTCGTGGAATATGAAAAATTAACACAGTACACCTCGATCATAATCGTAGAACAAGTCCTTTGAAGTCTAAATTGTATCGATGCAACATAGAATTAAGTGCTCAGGTAAAACGTTGCTTGAAGTAATTGACATTGCAGGAATACCACAGCACAAAAATTTCAACTCTACAGTTGTCGAAGCATGTGGATGTGAGAATATGACCTGCATTGAGATGGATTGTCGAACAATGTTGAACAAGTTAGGAGGTTAAGATTTGAAGAAGGTGATGCCGTAGCAATATAGTCATACTTAACGAATGCATGTTTGCACCATGGGCAATGGCATTTCTCCGGATAGATAACAAAAAAATGCCTATTTTCTCTACAACTATGACATACTCCATAATTCTTTTCCGCCATTGTAAGTTGGGAATAAATCACAATATATCGTAAGCTGAGATTAAATTTAGAGCAAACTTCATAAGTCGATTAAATTGAACATTTGAATTATAAAAAGTCATCTAACCGTGAACTTTATAACTCATTGGATATGGCCCAACAGTGAAAAAGAAAGACATTTCTCCGGATAGATAACAAAAAAAATGCCTATTTTCTCTACAACTATGACATACTCCATAATTCTTTTCCGCCATTGTAAGTTGGGAATAAATCACAATATATCGTAAGCTGAGATTAAATTTAGAGCAAACTTCATAAGTCGATTAAATTGAACATTTGAATTATAAAAAGTCATCTAACCGTGAACTTTATAACTCATTGGATATGGCCCAACAGTGAAAAAGAAAGCCAGCATAATGTTTTTCTTCTTTTCAATTTATGTTTTGGTCGAGAAAAGTTAAAAAAAAAATTACATAAGGTATATATTGCATCGTGTTTTCTGTAAGATCAATAATTCTATTGTGCTATAATTTACAAAATCAACTCAACTTTTGAAAAGAAAGGGGTCAAATATGTGTCTTTTTCATGTATTTATAAAATACACTCGACTAAATAGACCGAACATGTTACAAAAGTCAATTGAATCATCTAATCCTATAAAATGCAATAGGAAGAGGGTCTAAAATAAACCTAAATCGAAACTTTGACTACTAAATGAATTGTGGATATAATTTAATGACTGCTATTGGCATTTCATGTAATAAATGAGAAAAAAAATTAAATCCCAACAAATTCGAACTTATCGTGCAGCAATAACATCAAGCAAGAATAGTAAACAAAATCAACACCGATGTAAAATAATTAAACGGCATATAATGAGTGCAATTTGTGTACTTATTTAGACCATTTTATTAAACTTTTATGTCGTCAAACTATTGAATTTTATTTAGTTTGGATTAATTTTTGTTCGTTTCAGTGTTCAACCCGTTTTGAAGCAATTGGAAAATAAAAGGATCAATTGGCTATTAAACATAAGTTGTGGACCAAATATAAATTGAAAAAAAATGAAGAAGGAGAATTCAAGAAGTTAGGAACGTTAATTTCAATTGTACCTCTACAACAATTGGGCTGTCAATCGTTGGAAGTATGTGTGTGTGTGTATATATATATAAAGGATTAATCTATTTGTACCAAATGCACGGCCGCCCCTCCAATAGGGGGCCGTCACTTGTCAATTCGGTAAACCATTAGGTACTTGTAGTATATATACACCTTAAAACAAAAAAAATGGACGGCAGCCACTGGAGATCCACGTTGGAGATTCGGGCAGCTAAATTTGAGATTGATTTACACGCCAACTAGGAGCAAAGAAAAAAGAATAATACTTGTAGTACATTTTAGTGTCCATTTTGGTGTTCAAAATGGACACTTGACGCCTGTGGACCCCGACGTGGTAGGCGCCTCGGCCAATGGTGTCCATTTTGGCCGTTTTGTACCCATAGCACATCCGAAGAAAAAAAGGGACAGAACCCAGAAACAATTGGTGACAATATACAGAGGGGGAGAGAGAAAAAAGGTTGACTTGCTATTGGAGAAAATACAGGGGCTGGCTGCTGATTT